AGCCTATCCTATTTTCAGAAAAACAGCCTACATAAACTAAGAATAACACTCCATAATTTTCAATTTTTGGTTGTCTCTAGTTATTTAAGAATGATATACATTCAGTGATTATGTGGAAACGAGAGGAAAGAAATTAACTTGATCTGTTCTATGAACTTCATTCGTAGAATTGAAAAAAAATACATGAGATTAAAAAATATGCTCTAAAATTTCTTCAGCCGTAGTCAAACCTTACTGGTTACAAAACTTAAACGAGATTGGGTGGCTGTACACTACAGTGCTCCACAGAACAGTAAACAAGGCGAAATATTTAAGACAGTTCAAGCGACATAATTTCTCAACCTTTACAATCTAGTTGTGTTTTTCAGATCAAACGTCAAGACTGACAGACCATATGCTCAGAATAAGGGTGATACATTAGCAATAATTGAAGTAATCAGTTAGACTTCGTTATTTTACGAAAATCTGCCTTTCTAGACGGAATAATTGTGTACTTAAGTCGATGCTAGGGTGGCTTTTAAGTTCAATCTACAGCGAACTCCTCATTATAACAGGGTTTAATAATGAAAACCGAAGGGCATTCTAAGTAATTTCAGAAATCAGAATAGCCCAGATACGAATGATAAGGAAAAGTGGCTAGCAAGTCTACCCAGTATGACCAGTCCAGTCGCTAAAGAAACTCCAAAGCATAAACAAAATATAAAAAATGAAAACAAACTTATTCCTCCCTGGGATCGAAGAGACGCAATGACGCCGGTTGGTGAAAGCCTTCGGGAAGACCATTGGCCAATGTGTCTTCTCTCGATGAAAACGAAAGTGGGAATTGGGACATGGAATGTCCACACAATGTTTGAAACTGGCTGGTGAGGCTGCCCAGATTGCCAAAGAGATGAGAAGATGTGGCATAGAAGTGCTAGGAATCTGCGAAAGCAGACGGAATGGAAGTGGACTCTCCAAACTCTTAACTGGAGCGTCAATGATCACCCAGACAACAACCATGAGCACACTGAGTTTTGGAGTGCCTATCATGATGTCTCCAACAGCACCGAAGGCTCTCATGTGGCGGGAATCAATCTCCTCCTGCAAGATCATGATAGCAAGATTCAACTCAAAAGGAGGGAAAGTTACAATCACACAACGCTACGCTACGCATCTACAAATAATGCAGACGAAGAGAAGAAGGAGGAATTCTACAGACAACTGCAATCGGTAATGAACAAGACCCCACCCCAGTTGGTGACATCAAAATTCTAATGGGTGGTGTGACATGAATGCCAAACTGGGAGCCGACACACATGAAGAGAACTCACCATGGGTCGAGAAGCACTTGGTGAAATGAACAAGAACGGAGAACTGTTTGCAGACTTCTGCGCATTCAACGATTTGGTGATTGGAGGCGAGGCAGTGTGTACAAACACAAGGATATTCGCAAAGCGACATGGATTTCACCAGACACTAGGACACACTAGGAATCAGATCGACTTCATCTCAATGTGAAGAAAGTGGAGACGCAGCCTACTGGACACAAGATGAGATCAAGAAGAGGAGCAGATGTAGGCTCAGACCACTCGCCATCTAGTGCAAGGAGCCTTCAAAGTTAAGTTGAAAGCCTTCAGAGAAGTTGGTGATAGACCACAGTTCAAGTTCAACACACAGAACAGAAACTGAAGGACGAAACTACAAAGAACATATTCACGTCAACCATCAGAACAAAATGGGAGACATTGAGCAACATCCCTGAAGGATCGGGTGTGGAAGAACACTGGAACTCTTTGAAAGAGATGTGGAAGGGAACCTGCATAACCGTGTTAGCAAGGAAGAAGGAGTGGATCTCCACGGACACATGGAAGCTGATAGAGCTGGGAGAGGAAGATGGTGAAACAGAAGATGAACCAGTGCAATCAGTGCTGTGCAGTGCAGGGATGAACAACGAAAAGAAGAACTGAATACAACCTATAAAACACTACATTGGACAAAGAAGTGAAGAAGAGTGCGTGCAAAGACAAAAGACAATTCTACGACACACTGGTAGGTGAAGCAGAACAGGCTGCAGGTAGAAGAGATCTGACAACATTATATCAAATAACCAGGTCACTATCCGGGAAGAGATCAACACAGATGAAACCAGTGGAAGATAGTGAAGGAAATTTAATTACAAAAGAGAAGAAACAAAGAAAACGATAGGCTGATCATTTCAAAAAAACTCTTGAATCGACCACACCACCACCTGCAACTCATCCAGAAATGCCACCAGCAGCCCAGCCACTGAACTGAAAGTGAACACAAACACTCTGACAAAAGTCGAAGTCCTGAACGCCATAAAGTCGCTGAAAGCCAGGAAAGCTGCAGCACCAGATGGAATTCCGCCAAAAGCCCTGGAAACAGACACAGAAACATCAGCAGCGGACATGCTCATACCACTATTGCAGAAGTGTGGAGGAAAGAAAGGTTTCTGCCGGTTGATTGGAAGAAGGGCCACCTTGTCAAACTCCCAAGGAAAGGAGACATAAGTCCTCACAAGAGCTGGCGAGGAATCATGCTCCTGTCTACACCAAGCAAAATATCAAGCCACATCATACTGGAGAGACTAAACAATGCTCTGGATTCAAAATTACGACCAAAACAAGCTGGTGGTTTCATCAGGAAGGACAAATCATGTGCGGATCAAATTGCAACGCAACGCTACGCATCATCATAGAACAGAGTATAGAATGGCAGTCAACCCTCTACCTCAAATTCATCGACTCTGAAAAGGCATATGGCAGCGTCGAACGAGAAGTAATTTGTCAGGCGGCTGCTTCAACACTACGGTTTCAATGCCACAGACCTTTATCAATCACATTCAACAGCTATATGAAGAAGCCACATGCCAAGGGATTCACAATGGAAAGCTCAGTGACGCCTTTGGAGTGAAGACAGGAGTAAGACAAGGCTGCCGCCCACTATCACTGATTATCTTCGTGATTGTGGTCGACTGGATCACGCAGCAAACCGTGAAGAGCGAGGAGAGGGGCATACGCTGGTTGGACCGATGAAAAGAGCCTAGAAGATTTGGATTTCACCGATGATTTATGTCTAATGCCTTGTCACACAAACTCGAAGATCCACAGGCGAAAACCAACAAGTTGGCAGAAGAAGCAGCGAAGACGAGACTTCCTTCAGGTGGACGTAGAGAAGGCAGAGGTGAAGATACCGAAATAACAACAAGCACCAATCACCATCAACGTGAGAAATACAAAGTAAGTAGTCTCTTTCACCTACCTAGGCAGCATCGTTTCAACTACAGGCGGCGGCATAGATGAAGATGTCAAAGCCAGAATCGGAAAAGCAAGAGAGGCTTTCATAAATCTGAAATCACTGTGGAGATCTACTGCACTCCACTCAACATAAAGAACAAGATCCGGATCTTCAACACTAATTCAGTCAAGTCAGTGCTTCTATGTGATGGTTGAGGGACTTGGCGTATCACCAAAAGCATTTCCAACAAACTACAGACATTCATCAACAGCTGCCACCTACACTCACTCGATACTGAAGATCAGATAGCCAGAAAGAATAAATATCAAGGCTCTCTGACTGGCAACGAACCAACCAACAACCTGTCGCCCAACAAATATGCAGAAGAAAAGGGAGATGGATTGGATATACACTGAGGAGACCATTCCAAGATATCATGAGTCAGGTCAGGCCCTCGAGTGGAACCCAAATGTTAAACGACGAGTTGGGCGTCCCAGGTGAGGGTGGCATGGAGGAGATCATATGAGGAGGAAATGAAAGCTTGCAGGCAGTTGTGGAGCCAGGTTGAAAAGACTGTAGAGAACAGAGTGCAATGGAGACGTGCAAGTGAATCCCTATGCCCCACTAGGAACCCAAAGGACAAGTAACAATAATAATAATAATAATATGACCTGATATTCCCTATTTTGAGAAACATCAAGTGGGTACTTTTAAATAAGTGTAAGCGCAGTAATTTGATTTGTTTGAGATACAGCTCATATTACCGGTATGTAGTTCAGGTGATCCTACTCATCACTTTAGGATCCGATGCATTACTGATTTGTAGTCAGAGACTTTATATCTCTCTTAGGGGAATACACCCATCCATTAGTCCATCGATCAACGGGGAAATCCAGCAATCTTCTTTGACATTTATGCAAACATCTTAGTCATGTTAATTGAATACTTCAAAGTATATACATCCTTTCGTAAAGTTTTGTCACAAATCAGAATCCTTTCACTTTTCTATTTCAAACATCTGTAGAAATGATGGCTTTCTTGGTCAAGATTGATATCATGATAATTATGAAAAAGATGACAGGTTGAAGGAATATCACTTAAGTCAGGTTAAAAAAAATTTTAGTCCAAGTAAAGAAAGTATATAATGCAACATGATTATCTGCAGCTCACCTGAAAAACCGTATATCGTTACGAAATCTTTAGGCGAATATATTTTTGATAATCAAGGTATAATCTTGTCATAGTTGCAAGCGAATTCAAACATAGATGAGAATACTAGTGCCTAAGCTGGTATACAAGAAAATAAATGGTCATTATAAGTATTTCTGCAGTTTCAAATTAACAGGACGTCATGATGAATTAAGCTTTCTTCTTAGTGTCATAGGTGAACTTTAATGTGAGAAAATAAGATGTGGTCAGTTCATGTGAGTTTATTCTTATAGGGACGGATTCTTGGCTCCAATGATAGAAAGTTGGGAAAAACGAATATTAGATATCTTGTTGCATGAAATATGAGTGCATACCAGTGTACTGAGTATGTCGGTGAGACTTTAAATGAACTTAACAGAACGCACAAAAATGAGCAATTTCAAAAATATTTGCCTTGGGATTTTGGGTGAAATCTATTATTTCTACCAGTCACCTGTGTAAATATTATGAGCTAAAAGTGTACTGTATGAGTGCCACAATTTGCTTGATATCCAAAACTCAATATGCACACTGGTTTGCAATATATCTATTGTTGTCAATGAAAAGATTACCGTCTCAATAGAACTTTTATTAATTACCAAACATACTTTCAAGGTAGGTGAGTGAACATCAAATAACCATAATTTATGTATAACTCAATTGACGCTACAAGCTGAACTAAAAAGCAAAATCTCACCAAAAAGGGAGGAAATGGTCATAACTGCAGTGTACATGCTACTTAAAAATATGGCTTTAACAAGATAGTGAAACAGTATATATTCACTTCATAAAAACATCTTTAAGTATAATTGGAAGAAAGAGCTCTATAGAGAAAAAGGAAGATATCGCTACGACTGTTTCAAATAAGAATACTTCCTCATGTTAACCAACACTAACGGTATTTTCATCCAAGAACTTGTAGTTAGGTACTTCCAAATTCAGAGGAGCAGGCCCTTTCCTGATGCGACCAGAAGCATCATAATGGCTACCATGACAAGGACAATAGTATCCTCCAGGAAAATCACCTGAATGTGCAATTGGGATGCAGCCTACAGAATAAAAGTTCAGTATTTAGAGGGAATGAAGAAAGCATACAACGCATAAATAGAAATTAAATTTGTAACTGTTACCGTGCAATAACAATACTCTGTTGCTAAGTACTCTTTTTCCTAATTTGGTAAGCGATGTTACGTTTGCTAGTTTGGCCAAAACTGTTATTTTGCGACGCATAATGCAGCCGACTTAAATGTAAATAATAACGTAGCTAACGAAGCGTTCAGCAACCTTGTACAAATTCGTGTAGTAGGCAATGAGCCACCCCTCTTGTAGGAAAGCTAATATTACAACCTGGTCGCCCAAACGTCGGTAAAAGCAGCGGAGTTCGTCTACTGTTCTCGTATTACGTCTGACTCTCCGCATTAACAGTAGACAAGCACACAAGTAGTTTCATTTTGCTATAAGCAAATGAAGGAAACACAACAACGACAGTTAAGTTTTAATCGATGAAGATATCTGTCTTAAATACCAAAACAATTCCATTTAAACATAGGAAAACATACGATTGTAGAGGAGAAATAATCTTTTAGCAATATTACAAAACGATGCTCTAGTATATTACTTTGTCTATATATTAGCCTCGCAGCTACTACTAGAATTTTACCACTTTTAATTGAAACAAAATTCATTTGTACATTTCGTATGACCACCAAATGTCAACAAATAACGATATAGCAAAACTGTGTATTGAGGCCAGTTTGTCACGCTTAACATTAACAAAGTGAGGATGAATAAACAAAAAAAGGAATGGAAATAACTGCAACAGCGGATGTAAGAAAAATAAAAGTGGAAAGCAATGTAAAATATGGGATTTAAGGACAGTGGGGTGTTCTGAATTTAAAAGACGATTCTGTTGTAGATATCTGCGTAACCTGTGAAGTTTATGTGATTATTAAAGCAACTACCATCATGCGTTCTCAAAACTACCACCTAAGTGTTGTGATCGACGTGCTTTTCCCCCTTAAATTCCCTACAATTACATATGCACTTCCAGCTTTTCGTAGGAAACTATATAGATCTAGTTTGAATCACGGTTAACGCGCACTACAAATGGGTATCCGGTCTTCCTAATACTGTACGGTGCCATTTGATCAGGCAATGCCAAAAAAACCTTGATCACTGTGCAGTAAGCGATTACTACGCTGAGATTTATAGATACCCCCACAATCAGACCACGTAAGATAATTAACAAAGCCTAAAATATCTGAAACGTATACCATATGGATCCTAAAGAACAAATGGGTAGCTATAGTTATGTTTCAGAAGTATAGCCAACATTCCTGAATTGGGATTAAGGCTTGGTTAGCAACCAGACAAACACAAAGTAATGAATAATTTTGCACACGAGAGTTTCGAGTGTTACTACTAGTGAATGATTACATTTACCCACATTCACATACTATGGAACGGTGTTTTTCTCGTGGGGTACCTGACTTTATCCTACAGCCTAGTAAGCAAATGTTTGGAGCAGATCCCAAAGAGACTTCCAACTAATTGGTGTTGAGTGCTGTTTTAAGACCCTACTATCAACCGTAGATAACTGTACAGTTAGTGAATAACTTTCGAACAAATCACTTCCAGACACCAGAACCACTGGCGTTTTTTTTTAGGTACGACTGACTTGTAAAAGGTTACTTTTACATTTGATTTTAATTACAGACACACGACGTATTGGAACGTATTCATGTTTGTGGACCATTATGCACAAGAAAACACTGTTCTTACCCAAATGTGTACAGACTCCTAAGCAAATGAGCCATTTGTCTTCTTTAACGCGATCCTCATCCCTTTGAGGATGCCTTAAGCTACTCAGTGGAACAGCTCGCTCACGAGCAATTTCCTCCGCAGATCGATGACGGATGAAGAGTGGTTTATTTCGCCATTTGACTGTGATATTTTTTCCTTCTGGAATGGCAGCCAAGTTAACTTCCGTGGTGGCTTCCGCCATAGTTTTCGCTGAAGGCCCCAAAGGTTTGATGAACGTTTTGATAGCGTACTTAGCTGATGTAGTAACCATTACACCAGATGCTACAACAATAATAAAACCAGCCATTGTCATCGATTTATATCAAACATCATCTGTTTATCAAAACAAATAGGAACAGTTTTCAAGGTTGAGAAAGTGCATGTGGAATAATAGAACAGGACGAAGCACAGATCAATGATGCAAAAGATTAAATTCTAAACAGGCATTTACAAAAGTAAACCAACTGGCAAAATTCAGTAAAATACATTAACCAATTTTGTAGTTACCACATTGAGAACGGAAACAAAATAATGTCAACTAAATATAAAATGTTGATTGTTTCAAAAGAAATATGACTTGGAAGAATATCGAAAGCGTATGGTTCAGGATGATTTCGTTGGACTAGTATTATCTTAACAACTTGGCTAAGTAATCGTTTTGCCGCCAAACTAGAAGGCGTAATCAGGGGAAGCTCCATATGAAAATGAAGCTGATAGATTTCCTGCAAGTTACCTGAATTGATGTCCCAAAAACCTTTAAATAGTTACTGTATTTCTTGAGTTACGCATTTCAATATCTTTTAAAACCGTGTAAGAGCGATGAGTCCATGACTAGACAAGAAAACACTTTTCCAGATAGCAGTCTATGCAGAACTTTCTTTTCTGCAACGAACACCTACTAAGTAATGCCGACTAGAAGCCACTTACGAACTGTTTCACAGGATGTCAGGTAGTGAAAAATGGAAGAGCACCTAATGGTAAAACTGATGCACATTATCGAATACAGAAATATCTTCTGAAGTAAGTAGCATAACTGTGGTTTGAGTACATGTTAACGCTAATGAGGACAATTAAAAAGCCAAGTAATCGGTTAGGGAAGAAAGAAGGTACTCAGTGAATCATGAAATGTGGGCGATGTTTTAAGAAACTATCTTTTGTCCAAGCTTATGTAGTAATTTTAGCCACGCACTAATTCTTCGTGCCTTAGATACCTCAAGAAAAAATACTGTACCAGTGCTGGCAACCAGAAATGTCAACCTCCTTCACAACTCTACTAGACAATAAGTCCCTTCAGATAATTACCACCTTCCATATCCTTAGCTTTCACTAACAACCGCAGAACTACAAGTGAACACAAACACTCTGACAAAAGTCGAAGTCCTGAACGCCATAAAGTTTCTAACATCCGGGAGAGCAGCAGCACCAGAAGGAATTCCACCAAAGCCCTGGAAACAGACACAGAAACATCAGCAGCGGACGTGCTCATACCACTATTGCAGAAGTATGGAAGGAAAGAAAGGTTTCTGCCGGTTGGTTGGAAGAAGGGCCACCTTGTCAAACTCCCAAGGAAAGGAGACATAAGTCCTCACAAGAGCTGGCGAGGAATCATGCTCCTGTCTACACCAAGCAAAATATCAAGCCACATCATACTGGAGAGACTAAACAATGCTCTGGATTCAAAATTACGACCAAAACAAGCTGGTGGTTTCATCAGGAAGGACAAATCATGTGCGGATCAAATTGCAACGCAACGCTACGCATCATCATAGAACAGAGTATAGAATGGCAGTCAACCCTCTACCTCAAATTCATCGACTCTGAAAAGGCATATGGCAGCGTCGAACGAGAAGTAATTTGTCAGGCGGCTGCTTCAACACTACGGTTTCAATGCCACAGACCTTTATCAATCACATTCAACAGCTATATGAAGAAGCCACATGCCAAGGGATTCACAATGGAAAGCTCAGTGACGCCTTTGGAGTGAAGACAGGAGTAAGACAAGGCTGCCGCCCACTATCACTGATTATCTTCGTGATTGTGGTCGACTGGATCACGCAGCAAACCGTGAAGAGCGAGGAGAGGGGCATACGCTGGTTGGACCGATGAAAAGAGCCTAGAAGATTTGGATTTCACCGATGATTTATGTCTAATGCCTTGTCACACAAACTCGAAGATCCACAGGCGAAAACCAACAAGTTGGCAGAAGAAGCAGCGAAGACGAGACTTCCTTCAGGTGGACGTAGAGAAGGCAGAGGTGAAGATACCGAAATAACAACAAGCACCAATCACCATCAACGTGAGAAATACAAAGTAAGTAGTCTCTTTCACCTACCTAGGCAGCATCGTTTCAACTACAGGCGGCGGCATAGATGAAGATGTCAAAGCCAGAATCGGAAAAGCAAGAGAGGCTTTCATAAATCTGAAATCACTGTGGAGATCTACTGCACTCCACTCAACATAAAGAACAAGATCCGGATCTTCAACACTAATTCAGTCAAGTCAGTGCTTCTATGTGATGGTTGAGGGACTTGGCGTATCACCAAAAGCATTTCCAACAAACTACAGACATTCATCAACAGCTGCCACCTACACTCACTCGATACTGAAGATCAGATAGCCAGAAAGAATAAATATCAAGGCTCTCTGACTGGCAACGAACCAACCAACAACCTATCGCCCAACAAATATGCAGAAGAAAAGGGAGATGGATTGGATATACACTGAGGAGACCATTCCAAGATATCATGAGTCAGGTCAGGCCCTCGAGTGGAACCCAAATGTTAAACGACGAGTTGGGCGTCCCAGGTGAGGGTAGCATGGAGGAGATCATATGAGGAGGAAATGAAAGCTTGCAGGCAGTTGTGGAGCCAGGTTGAAAAGACTGTAGAGAACAGAGTGCAATGGAGACGTGCAAGTGAATCCCTATGCCCCACTAGGAACCCAAAGGACAAATGATAATAATAAATAATATCTTTGGCTCATAGCCTTCTTTCAGGCCTCTCGATTCACATTTCCCCATCGTGTTTAATTTTTTCCGTTTTCCAGCTTTTGACAGGGACATGAGCTCACTAAACGGCAGCCTTAGTCTTCCGAAACCTAGCTGCAAAGTACACGTTGGAGCTTTTCATGTTCGCACCGTCGATCACGCTGGTTAAGAAGCTTCGCTAGCCAAGACTGTGGTTTCCCAGGTCAAGGATGTTTCGCCCGCAATCACCTCGTTCGGGGTGATGCAACTCCGGGTGAAGTGTTCGACACATCCCAGCACTTCACTACCTAGTTGGGGTCCGCGTGACAACAGAAACCAGTGGTTGAAAACACTAGGTGATATGACTCAGAACTGATGTCGGTGGTGCAGATGCATCCTCACACTATGCGCATCATCAATCCGTATTTCGGTATTCTCACATTCTAGTGTGCGCTACTTTAATGAATGTCTCCCAAATTTCTTCAACTTTCATAATAGTGCATTGCAGCTTGTTATGCTGGCATAAGGATGACAAACTGGGTCGCTATGCAGTAATGTTAGGTCATATGATGATTTTGTCTATCTACTCAAATAATACAAACAGTATCTCCACTCATTATTAGAACTTTCATACATTCACTGCAATCAAGTATCGTTTCTGGAAAACGCAAGACGAAGATATACGGATTATTCATGCACAACCAACAAAATCATAATTACAACACCAATTATTCCATTACATACAGAAGAGACGCAAAAGCTATCTGAATGAGACTCACTTGAGTACGACCGCACTGAAGAAAACCATCTCAATCTTTCAAGAAAACGGTTATCCGAACCTCATCGAAAAATGCCTAACCAACCAATAAATTGGACAGTTGGATCTAAATACAGAATGGTCCTGCTATGTGTATCATCATAGAAACCATGAGTCACTTATTTGGTAAAACATGAAACGAACATTGCTGGGAACCGACAAAGACCCTGGAAACAGTGCAATGTATATCAAGATATGTTGTATCAAAAGACGGCAAAACGGCTGTCAGCTACCAAATCAGCTGCATAAGGTGTGAAAACCAGTGCACTAGACATATGTTTGACAGAACCAGCCACGATAAGTCAGATATAATCAGGAAACTCATCAGCTTTGTTCTCAATCTTTCCTGTGGGTTTTCTATTTCAAACAGAACTCATCAACCAAACCATCCACCCCGAGAAAAAGTGACATAAAATGAATGAACCCATCGAACTTCGTTTTCTAACTTTAAAACTTCTGTTGCATTGCATGACTCACTTATAGATGCAAAGCGGAGTTATGGGTTCAAGCCCCACTCCTTTCACATAGGTTCGTTAAGCCAGGTAGCATCAGAGAATTAACATAGTAAGTGACCAACATTGCAGTGCACGAGCCTGGGGACAGTTGGTAGGCAATATAAATCCCTCGCCTTCACACTACCAAACTCATATTGAAGAAAACCCAGGCAGTTATAGAGATATGTACAGGGAACACAGGCCAAGTAGAACAGATGGATCACAACACATCTTTTGTCTCGTGTATCAATAAAAAATGAGACACTATTAACCTGAGGGAAATGTGTTTTCAGAACGATATTTTCGTAGCTTCCCAGCCTGACGAAGAACAAGTTAGTATGTGAAATCTTATTAAAACCCCATTAGTAGCACAAACAGCTGCTCACCAAACATCATTGTATATACATAAATTTTGCGCTGCATATCTGTGTCTCCAGTTCTTGAGTGAGGGTCTTTGGTTGCATCTAAGCGATAATCAGTGAAATCAGGAACACTTGCAACATCCGTATGAAAGTATCGAATCTGCATTGGGGCTATATTGTTGGCCAGTTAGAAAAAAATGAATTACCGTCTAAACTACATTTGCACGCATTAAAACAGATTTTGGAAGGGATTGAAGTAGATGTGGGGAAGATTTTACGATGGGTACCAGTGGTAAAGCAGATTTTTTGCGTGGCACAACTTCCACAAGTACACTCTTCTCAGAACTTAGCGGAATAGTTGTGAACTTTTTGACACCTTCCAAACTCTTTAGGTAACGCATTTCGAAACCAAACTTGAAATCACTGCGCTAAAGAAGTAACGCCTATCCAATATCTTTTAACTAGCTAGTGTAAACCGACTGATTTATTCGCGATCTCTACTAGATCTTGCTGGACGGTTCCAGGTCTTTGGTGGATCCCAATATCCAATATTGATAGTGCGAGCATAGTAAACTGGTAGTTTTGATCTCTCGCGTCTAGTTCTTAGGGCTTGGTTCCAGTTGTTCGGTTCACTCCTGCAGTGGACGAGGAAATCCCCTCTGCTTTTTTTTCTTTTAGCTTTGGTGAGGTGGATGTTTTGTAGGTTAGTAGGTTGTAATTTGCAGAGTGATTAGGGAGCTACGGGTTGGTGGGAAGTTAAGACAACTGCCGTGACTCCTGTCTGTGTAGGTACCTGAAGGAGAATAGTAAGGTAGTGGTAAAGGAATGAAGAGAGAGTAAAGAAAAAAAGAGAGGAAAAAAATAATAATACGGGGAAGAGGAAAGGGAAGGAGAAAAAAGGAGGGGTGAAAAGAGAAATGAGAACGAAAGAAAAGCATTTGGGAATTGCCCGAATGGTAGTGTGGGTTTTGTTCCTACAGAAGAATTAGTAGGTAATGTGGGTGTATTAAGGAGAGAGATAGTGAGTGGTAGTTAGGAGGGAGTTGGGGGGTACTGAGGTGCTCAGATCTCGACGAACTGGCATGCCCCACGCCTTTTGTCAAAACTGAAGGCACCATATACGTCCTGAGTAGCAGTACTGACGACCACAGGAAAGAAATCGATAACGTTGGGACCACGACGGAAGAGATTCAGAGAATAGTTGAGGATTTCCACCCATTAGCATATCTTCTAGGGAAGCATAAAAATTTAGCCAAAGACCATGTGGTGAAAGCAGAAAACTTAATTGACCACTTGGCAACGGAGGTAATGAAGAGACTATCGTCATCCCAATAGGCCATCGTTTATAACCTACCTGGTACCCTACCCTTGGATATAGTTAAGACACAGGTATCAAACTCATGCGGTTTGACACGAATATACTGTGACTACAAGCGCCTCCGCAAAAAGTCGGCACAGTCTAGTTGCCCCATGATTTTCAAGTCCACTGCTTCATTTGACATTAAAAGATTTATCAAACCACAAGACTACATAAGGTTACATAGCAGCTTTAAAAATATTTCTGTTGCACGAGACAACACAGCATGCCAACGTGGGAAAACAAAAAATGAGTAGTCTAACCAGTTCATCACAATTAACGTAGAGGCTGCTGTGTGCACGAACAGGCCATCAGAAAGTGCTGACATGGTCAGTAATTCTGTTGGATGTACCTCTTCCTCGGTAAAGCGGTCTCAATCAAATCTAGCTACAAGTGAACGCGATACTTCGGTTGCCCGTAAAAAGAAAACTATTTGTACCGTCTCCCCTAAGGTCACCATAAGTAGAAGCCCGCTGGGTGATAGAAGACTCAGAAATTCAGGCGAAACCCTACCATCTAAAGCTAAAACGTTCTTGAAGAGGGACCATTTCAGGCGCGTGTTTTCTAATGACGGAGAAGAATATTTCATAGCTAAGATATTGGCAACACACGAACCCAAAAGGCAGGTTTTCCATCAGAGCCCTTTTTTCAGAAATGAATACCACGACAACTCGAGGTTCCATCTGGCTAGACACCCCTTCGGACCACGTCCTCTTAATCACAGGCGTCACAAAGTGATGCCGAGTGGCATACCCAACCCTCAAATGTCCTACATATCACAAACACCTAGCCACTGTTCAGCTGTGCATCATAATAATATTAGTCAGTACTTTGGGAAGAGATGTATTACCTCTGCTGGAAACTTCCCCACTTATGAACCCTACCAAATTTTTTTCACATCCCACACAATGTGTACGGTCCATGGTGTTTAAGCTTGTTCGCCCTCCCGATAACACAGGGCTGGAACCAATTTCCTTGACTTACACAGGTCATAAACCGTACCTTACGCCAACAGTACAGAAGAATAGTACGTTAACAACCCGTAGGTGCCATGGAAAACTAAGTAATCACATACTTGTGAAAGACGAACTCACCAGTCACACTGGCACACCCCACTGTTGAGTCCTGTCACGTCCGAGATATAGGTAGTGCATCGTTTAGCAAACTGAATACCAGAAATTCTTCCGCTCACCGAGGCTTTAGAGACATCGTAAGTTGCCTCGCAAGCCACGGTAGCCTTTCTACGCTTCTACTTATTAGTGCCCGCTCGTTATTTAGAAAAATATCTGGCCTAAGGACAATAGTTTTACTGACCGAACCCGCTGCATTACTGGTTACCGAGTCATGGTGTACTGGCTCAATCCTAGACATGGACCCGTGTATAGGTGGTTATACTCTGTATCGCACTAATCGTGACCACAAGCGTGGTGGAGGCTGCTTGATCTATGTGTATAGCCTTGCTACCTCAAATAAGATTGAAGATGATGTCTTCAGTGATCTGCCGGATTCACTTTGGGTCGTTATAAGCGGTAGCAACTACAAAACCCCCATAGGCTGTGTGTAGAGCACCATATTCAACGGAAGAAAGTGATGAACTGATGGCTAGATCATTTGCCCACGCTGGATCCCTCACTGTTGACTTCAAACTGATTGCAGGTGACTTTAACTTACCTGAAGTTAACTGGGAGGCAGGTCGCGGCCCAAAAGGCTTTGATGAAATACTTATTGTCATACATATCTATGGCTGGAAGTAACACCTCCAGCAACCACGCGTGGAGATAGCATACTGGACCCAGTCTTTTGCTGTGACATCATCCCTGTCACTACCCAAGTTAGTAGCGAATTCTCTAACAGTGACCACAGGATGGTATTCTGTGCTTGCCAATTCTGCCTCCCAATGAGAAAAACAAAGGATCGTCAAATTATACTTGACATCAAAGCTACAAGAATAAAGAATGGGAAGTACTTGTCGAGCTCCTCAGGTGCTCTCCATGGGATGGCTACTTTACCACAGCACCATCAACAGACACCCTCACTTTTCTACAGAAATATAGAGCCGTGTCTAGATACTGTTGCTTCTATGAAAACAGTTGTGGTTTATAAGCAGCCAGACCCATATATCCCTAAAATATTCTGCAATAAACTTAGAAAACTATCATCACAATGTCACTCGTCAAAAGACTTCATGTCACTGCACTCGATTTATGAGACTTACTAACCTATTAAGTCATTACGTGCGAAACACGCAGTAAATATAGAGACCTTCGCCTTCAAAAGTGGCCCCAGAATACACAAGTTGACATCTCTTTTGAGTGAACTTCTGCAGCCATCGAGGGATGTAGCCTATCTACTGGATAATGGAATGGTACACAACGATCCCCTCAAGATTAGTGAACTTTTTGGCGAATCATTCGCCGATTTCAACTCTAATGCCTTCAACCCCACTAGTTTTACTCCAATTACCGCTAGATCACGTACTCAAGCGGAATTCAATGTCAAAAGTATCACTGAGGCTATAAAAGCCTGAGGCTATCGACGGGTAGGGGAATAGATGGCCTTAACTCAAAAGTCATCGGAAACAGTGATGATGACATGCTCTGTTCTTGCTTAAGATATTCACACTACCAACGGAAAGTGAGGAGTATCCCAGTGAGTGGAAAACCAGCTTTATAATTTCGCCCCACAAGTCCGATGACAAAGCGAATGCTGGTAACTACAGACCTACCAACATAACCCCAGTCGTCTTCCGAATTATGGAGAGTGATTAACAACAATAATAATATATTTCATACGACATAAGTTACGTAAAAACAAACCAGTTTACAGGTCTGATCATTTTGGCAATGTGAACTGACTGTTATGTACAATACAAATAAATTTTTATTCTCACATAATTAACATGAGAGAAGCCAGTTTACAGGCATCACGTTGATATATGTTGAAAAATCTAATAGATTTTACGGGTCCCGAATAGTACAGAGGGGAGATAGTTTAACTCCATCAAAAACATCAGATCGCGGTTGCGGGACAAAGAAAATATTACTTTCAGCATATGCAGCGCGTCAAAGTGAAGAAAATAAGAATTGCCATTCCCATATTATTGAATTAACATGACAGATACCAGTTCACAGGCACCGTCAAAATAATGATTTCGAAAAGTTACAGAATAGTGCTGGGAATTATATAACTCACACAGCAAGTTACTGATATGCATAAGCTTATGAAAACTTGCTGCAAATCGAGAGACGGGTATGGATTTCCATCTGTCATTACACAGATAGGATCCACTATTAATGACAAAAGCGCGCAATGTTCGAAGTTTGCATTGTAACCAGGCGACGTTGCTAGTCCATTTGCATAGCTTCTTATTTAGTAATATAAACATCCATTCACTCGAAAGTTCTTCACTTCTTGGCTTTACTAACCACAAAGGGCCTATTTATACAATCTGTAGCATCAGTAGGTATCCACAGTTACATGCAACAAACGCGGGCTCATTGAATGGTGGTGTTTTCACTCGTCTCTCAGCTTTTGAATTTTTCCACATTGAAAAACTCCCACTCGCAATACTCAATCCAAAAAGATCGAACGTCTGCAGCACTTCTGTCCGACCACGCACCTCACCGCTGCGTATTCGTCAGCTCACTTCTCAACAGTTGAAAATTGACATTATTATTCCTTTGAACCAACTGGTCTACCTCCTGTCAGTGGCTCTTGGGCGTTTCAACTGCCAAACTGCTTTAGCTCTCGGTTCTCCACGGAGGTCATTCCCCAGGAAATATCTTTCCTGATTATACATACACATCTGGAGCTTACGGTTTAACTCGTTGGTCAAGAGCAGAGGATCAAGTGACAAGTGTCTGAAGGTGAGCCAACATAAATTGTCTTCCCGTATCCATTCTGTCCTTCTGCTGCATTCAGTCTCCAACCCTCTTATTGTCGCTAGCTATTTGTCTTCCCGAGAAGTTTATATTATAGCAACATGTCTGCCGAAGTCGCTAGACCAAAGCTTTGACACGGATAAGGCGGTCGTGCACAAAAGAAGACAGTAACACCCGAAACAACACACTAGTCTGTACTAGAA